ACTACGGCTTTGGAGGACTACCTTGGGTACAGCGATGGATTGCGGAAGAAATGCTTTGCCTGATGGAAACCCTCCTGCCTGAGTCCGCGGAAATCAGTCAAGAGGCCTTCATCCAGTTTAGTTTGTGCACGCAGCATCTTGAAGACGTGTTGCGCGCTCTGGAGAAACCGCAACGTCAGCAGTGGGTGTCCCTGCTGGTCAGAGCCCTGCTTGGACAGAAAAGATGCCACGAGAGATTGCTGCACGGCCTGAAGCTCCTTTGGAGAGCAGATGACATTCCCAGACGAAGCTACGCGGAAGCAGAGCAACAACTGAGGGCATTCCGCAGGACCTTCAGCTATGACATGCAGACACGTATTTTTGATCTCCTTCTGTGTCGCTGAAGTCTGCCTCACAAGGACAAAATGAGCCTTTTGGGGTGGCTTCCAGGGTACGGGAAGGTGTCGCTACCTGAAGCCCAGAACCCTTAAAACCTGAAGGCCCTGAACCACAGGGGGCCTTAACCATGAGCCTAAATCCCAAGCCCTTCAACCCTCAGCCTTTAAGCCGCCTGGTGCCTGAAGCCGAAATTAAGCCCTGACAGCCCCGCCCTGAGCCTAAGGCTCCCAAAAACTCTTAAAGCCCCCGAAGAGCCTTAAACCCTAGAATTCCAAAATGTAAAGAGCCCTAAGCCCTAAACCCTAAAGGCCCTAAGCGCCTAAACCCTAAAGCATCAAACCCGAAAACACCGAAGCATACGCCGCCTAAGCCCTAACAACCCGAAACCCTCAAAACCCTCAACCCTAGCCGTAAAGCCCCAAACCGCAAACGGCCTTGAGCTAGAAAACCTAAACCCTCCAAGACGCAAACGGGGGGGGGGGGAGGGGAGCCATAGTAAAAATAGTTTGGGTTTCTAACCCTAAACCCCAATCCCATCGGGGAATATGGGGATCAGGGCCCATGGTACCTCTAACAATATTCCAAGTCAAGCCCGGTAAACACGCCTTGTAGCGGATCTGCCGCAAGTCGTTCATCCTCCCAGAGCTCGGTTCAAGGTGGCACAGTGGAACTTAACGAAGGGTTCAGGGTTTAGGGCTCGGGGCTTAGGTTTTGGGCTACGACTGGGCCTTTTTGGCGCGTGAGGTTTACAAACTATGGGTAAACCACAAAATATGCCGCTGCCCTATCTTGGTAGCTTGGGTTCCATTTCCTGAACAGCAAAAGCCAAAGCCAGGATGTGGCCTGTCCCCCCGATCCCTGTAGAGGGTTTCGCGTACTACCCAAGATGCTAAACGTGAAGGCCTAAACAAGCAAAGCTGCTCTCTCATTACATATGCCGACACATCCGGCAAGCATGGCAGATGCCCACAGCACCCACCAGAAGAACTTCGGCAAAGAGAGAGAGGACCTGTGTTTCTGCACCCAGGCAACAAAGGGTGTTTAGACCCAGAGATGGCAGATTAGTAGGTGGCCCCGGCTGTATACCCCTTCATCTCGGGAGGTACGGACCATGAGCACGAGGCGATTTTTTCTGTTGCTTTGATGCTGCTTTCTGATTTCTACCTTGCGAGCCCCAAAACCACGAAGTTTGAGGGCTCCCTAGCTAGTTCATACCAGATCCCCAAACCCCAAAAATCCCGAAAGCCAGGCACTGAATCGAGGGCATCTTAGGATTCAGCGGTGTATGGGTGCACCTCGCACGACTGCCACTGGAAAGGAAGAGAGTGAAATGGAGTACGCGCTGAAGCACAAGAAGGCCTGGCCAATGTGTTCAGGCACATTCACTAAGCTTAAATTCCCGAAAGCTTGAAGAAATCCTAAACCTGAAGCCTAAATCCTATGAGGTTAAGAAAGGCAAAGCGTGGCACTACGGGCACGGGATCAGGCACTACTCCCCTTTGACTGCCAACGGGCCGAGTGAAACAAGCTGAAACAAGCTCTATTTGGGGCCTCATTTGGGGTTGGGAGAGGGGGGAGGGGCTAAGCTAACGTGGGGGTAGGATGGGCTACAACCTTGCAAGCACTCAACCTGTACCTTGTTAGGGCCCGAAACCTTGAACCCAAAACTTCCCTCAGCCCGGTTAGGGTTTTGTGTGGGGGGGGGGGGGGTTGTAGAGGCTCTTAGTCTGGTGTACTTTAGACCCAAAACCCTCAACCCTGTAATGTTACCCTACCTACTCTTCCAGGATATTCATAGTCGCGGCTACTTATTGCCCTATCGCTGTTTAGGGCACCCCCAGACCCCGAAAAGCCTATAAATCCTACAAAACCTACATCCGAGCCCTAGGGTTTAGGGCTTCTCAAAACTTGAGGTTTAGTAGGGAACCTCCTCCACGAGGAGCAAATTCTCTCAGTTTCGCGGCCACGGCTCCAGGAGCGGAGTCCCTGGTTGCGTGGTTTTCAGAGTTTATATGGGCTTAAAGACTTACGGTCGTAAGAGTTGAAGGGTTTAGGGTTTTTGGGGTTTAGATTTTAAGGGCTTAAGGCTTCTTAGGTTTTGTCAGTCCGTCTTTCGCTAGCTGAGCTTGCTGTTTCGGGTTTAGGATTTTGACGGCGGGTTAGGCAGTTTAGGCTTTTGAGGGGGGACTTAGCAAGGCACCCAGCGTGAACACGGATTGCATGTGAGACAAAGCTGCATTTTCTGTGCCCAATCTCTGTCTGTCTTTTGCCCCCTTGTTGCATGTTATATACCATACCATACTGTATATTGTATTCTACCGTATTGCATTTATGATATGAGTATTCGGATCGTACTTGGGTCTCAACCTGGCCTTGAGCCTACTTGTGTGTCCAAAGTGAATGCAAGCGACAATGTACTGCACAGCCTCTAGGCCCCTAAATGCTTAAGGGTTTCAGCAGAATCTGGTTTGTTATAGGAAGTGATACTGATAGCAGCCGTAGAGACCAGACTCATTGGGAAAGAGTTCATGCCGGAGGGAACCCGTGTTTGTTCTGTTTTGCTGTGATTAGTGGTTTTTTTGCTGTAGAGGCACGCCCCCGGCGGGCCAGTGAGTGATTGAGCCCCCGTTTCCGCCACGACAGCAAAAACACAAAAACGTGCCCGCGCCCGTGCCCCCTCCACGACAGCAAGAAAAACAACGCGCCCCAAGCCACCCCACTACCACGGTAGGGGCTCAGCAGGCCCCGAAGTAAACAGGAATAGTAAAAGTAATACGAATACTAATCGTAATAGGAGTAGTATTAGTAAGAGTAGGAGTAAGAGTCGAACTGTCAATACTAAGTAGTAGTTCTAGTCATGCAAATAGTAATAGTATGTGTATTGTGATTTTTTGTTGTTATGATTTTTACCATTATTATTCGCTTGTTGAGACTTGAAGGGGGGCGCTGCTGAACGCCGGCGCCGACAAGGCGGCGGGGGGTTGTAGGGCTCGGTTTCGGAGGTTTGCATGGTTTGCAAAATAAGATAAATACGGGACATCTCGTTGAAGGCCTCAGCCATGGCCCGAAGGGCCCGAAGCCCCGGACTTGAAGGCTCCACACCGGAGTTTCAGAACTCAGGCCGTCCCTAAATGCCAAGATTTGACAGGGATCCCCTGACTTTACTCGAGCAGCAATGGCCCACAGCCCCAGCGCAGCCCGCACCACAGGCTGGCAAGCAGCAAGCAGTCAGGTACCCAAACCAAAAAAAACCAGCAGGGGCAGGTTGCGGCGAGAGCTCGAAAGAACGCCTGCAGCGGCTTTCAAAGTGGCTTTGTTCAGAGCCTTGTTTCAGAAGGCCTTCGTAAGGGGCCAGCTCAAAGTTGCCTTCTCCTCCATCCACGTTTCCGAAAACTGCACAGTGCATCACAGTGCACACCATCCCCTCTATCGTTGACGAGACCGTGACGAGACCCTCTCAAAAAGATATATGTCTTGGAAGATGTCCGGGCGCGTGTTTAGAAGCCCTGCCTCGGAGCACCTCCCGAAATTTGTGCGCCCTCCTTCCCCCCTGGTCCAGGACGCCTGCAAGAAGAATGGCCGGCGCCTCAAGGGCCGCAGGGTGCCGGCAGCCTTCGCTGTTTTTCTCCTTCGCGCGCCGAGAAGCGCAAGTCGACATGCACAGAAAGGGGGATTTTTTTGGAGGGTTGGCTTACTCAGACCTGTTCCCCCTACCTGTTTCCTATAAGGTCCTAGAACGCTCCGGGGCTCACGCATGCGGCTAACTTGGGAAGCCGGGATCTGGGCCGACAAGGGATGTTTGGGATGGTTGGGGTTTGGGGCTGCACAGGGGGGTGGGTCACTGCAGGCGGTTCATGTGCACACCTTGATGCCCAGGTCTTTCGTAGGGTCCTGATGTCTGGCGGAACCCCCGATTTAAGACCCCTGCCGTGATATATCGGTGAAGTGTAGGAGGGACCCTAGGAATAATCGTATAATGGGGAAGTAGTAGTGATATATTGGGTGGGGTGTAGGGGGGAGTATAGGAATAATCATCTAATGGGTTGGCGGTAAAGCCTGTCCGTCTCAGACATCCTCAGAGGGGCAGGGACTTCGGGCTGTGCTTTTGGCTAGAGGGACTTCGGGGGGGGATGCAGCGGGGGGAGCGAGGTCATGGGGGGCCTGTAGGACTCCTTGGGAAGTTTGGGGGCTTTGAGGGTTTGGTTTTACACTCCGTGGTGCTGCCTGCGGCTCATCTTGGAGGGTTTAGGGTTTAGGGTTTAGGGTTTAGGGTTTAGGGTGGCTTCCAGAACGAAGGCCTCTCTAAGCGGGAGCTTCTGGAGCTTTCCTTCGAGGGTGTCGGGCGCTCTCCGCACCTGATCGTTTTTGGAGAGGGTCTTTGTTTTGGGATGGAAGCGAAAACTTATGGCGAAGCTTCTGCTGGATGGCGTCTTGGGATTCATGTTTGGGGTGGGGAGGGATGGTAGGGTTTTTGGCTTGCTGTGTTTAGGACTCTGACCGTCCAACTTTGCATACGAAGTGCTCAGCATACCTCACCCAGAACTTTGCTTGCAGAAGCCGACGGTGCCCAGAGGCAGAGGCCGGGCAGCTCTGATCTCCGGTCCCCGCACACCTTCGACGTTTCACCCACTTCGTGTCCACTCAGCGCTTTTGGTGCTTTGGATTAACATCCTCACTGGCACATACTGGCACGTAAGGGCCCCATACTCTTGTACCTGGCAGCCTTTGCTGAGATTTTTGGTGTGAAGTGGCACAGGAAGCCTTGCAAGAGACGAAAGTCCGTGACACAGTCTTGAGCTGTTATGTGGTGAAGTTTAGTTTTCGGCTTGTTGCCAGGCCGCTTGCTCCTCCCGCAGCGTTCCTCAAGTGCCAGATTATACCGGATTCAGCCGGCAAGGCAGATGAATCGAGGAAGCGGCCGGCAGCGGAGGAATCCTTTGCGAGCCCTTGGATTCAGCTGACTCGCGCTGCCAAGCAGTGCCGAGGCGCAGATGAGACTGTATGCCCTCCATCGCAGCCAGGGAACGAGAGAGCAAAAAAAGAGCAACGAAGAGATACCGACAGACCTGCCCACTGACACAGGCATAAACTCCCACGGCTACCCCTCGAGCTGATCAGCCCAAACTGTGTTTATCAGGGGAGGAGTTTTCGGGGTAGAGGCCAGTGGGGGTCCCCCGAATGGTCAAATTTGGGCATGATGTTGACGACCACAAAACTCCTCTCGTCCCCAACTTTCCCAAAACCCTACTGGTAGCAGCCGCCTGCCACTCCTCGCAAGCAACCTCGATCCCTATGCATTTCCATGACCCCGGAAGAACTGTCTCCGCGCGCGCTGCCGCGCTGCCTTCCACGAACGTTCGTCTGCTTACGTCGCCGCCTCGCTCTTCGAAGCTGTTCTTCCCCATCCTGGGTGCCCCTTTCTGATTCGCTGAGTTTTCGTCCCCCCCTGCGTGGAGGGGCAAGCAGGTAGCTGGGAGGGAAATGACACCGGCGAATCGCCGGCAGATGCTGGGCGGCTAGGGGCGCCCCCTCGATGAATGCACTTTGGCCGCAGCGGCGCCGCGACGCCCGCAGGTTGGCTTTCGTTTTATTAGTCCTCTTGCGATCGTTTGCGCGCACGTGTTGTGTTCTGAGGAATAGTGCCTGGGAGTTTTTTTCGCGGCAAGTTGCACTTTGCCTTTGCAATTAAGCCCATCACGACTGGATCTCCTTTTGCTTGTGTGATCCGATAGGAGCGAGCTCTGGCCACCTTTGTCGCGAGCCTTCGGCTTTGCATGCTGCAAAGGAAAGTGCAGGGTCAACACCCCCCCGACCCTGCTTGTTTTGACCGGGCAAACTCGCGTTAAGGAAAATCATGGCATGAAAAGAAATGGCATCAAAACCCACACGGCTTTCCGGGCTGGCAACGTGGAGGCCTTCAGTCGATACGAGAATCAAGAGTAGCTACGCATTTCTGGAGATAACATCTTGCGGTATGTCACTGCACATGCCGGCGGCATCACAAGTGGTGAAAGGTGCGTTTCACAGGCACCACATCTCAAAGTACTTTTCCGTGGTCTTGCCTTGAGCGCCCACGCCAATCAAACCGCTATGCTGCTCATTGCTCCCAGTTTTTGGATGTGGGCATTCACGATGGATAGAAAACAATCAGCTTCTTGCCTACCCGTGATGTGATTATGGCAATGTCGCAAAGTTGACCAAGCAATCCGCCTCAACTCCCCCCCCCCCCAGAAGGCCTCTAAATTTTCCTTAAATTATCCTCGTCCAGCAACAGTCCGACGTTTTACAACTGAACTGCCATCTTAGGGCTGTTCGAGCCCGCATTTTTGCCATGGAGCGCCATGACCTCAACTTCGTGATACCGGCCGGCAGCTTGGACAAAGTGGTCTTGTCTTCCACACCGGAGCTTGACACGAGGACGACCCTGGGCTTCACGAGTTCTTTTCTTGTTGGGCCGCAATATTCGAAGGTGTTAGAGGCAACCAATTGTGTTATGGCGTTAGCATAAGTTTCGGTGGTTTTCTTTGACGTCCAAGAGTTCAAAAGCACAGCCCTTGTGCCAGGCTGAAGGGGCAGCTGAATGACTGGTTGAAGGCGGTGTTGGACAAGATGGACGGGATGGCTCAGAGAGCCCAATCTGAGGTGCAGCGTGCCTGTACCGACCTGATGGAGAAGCAGCAGAACGCATTTGCAGAGGCACTCTGGGCATGGCCATCCGCCAAAATACTTCCGAGCCTGTTGTGTTGATGTCTTGTTGGCGGGTCTGGAATCAAGGTTCTTGAAAATCCCCGAGCGCCCTCAGCCATATAGGCCCTCCAACCCACCAGGTCAATCATCTGAAGGTCGAGGTGTTGGGGACCGTGTCTGCGCGTGCAACCGACCATGAGAACGAGATCCGGGAGATCAAGAAGGCCATGGACAGCCTGGCTTGCAAGACGGACATGAAGAGCATCGCTGACAAGGTTCCATCCGAAAACAAAAGCTCGACAAACCCCCCAAACAATGTGAAGGCCCTTGATTGGCCATAGACCCTTGCGAGCCCTTAAAAGCCCTCAACGCGGAGCGGCAATCTTTGTTCTGGCTTCTGCAGCCCTTCAAGCGTTCGGCATCCGAAGACCTGTGTCCCAAGTCCCAAACCTTCTGGCTGGTGGGGTTCAGGGGGGCGGGTTTAGGCTGTAGGGTGCAGGCGCGAATAAGGGTTTGGATTTTCGGCCCCTTTTGAAACCACTTGAAGGGTTTCTGTAGGGTGATGCAAGACCCTTGATGTCTTACTTTCCTTTGAACTGGTGAAGCCGAGAATTCACCCCAGGTCACAGAGATCAAGTCGGCGCTTGCCAAGCAGGTTGGGGTTTAAGGGGGCTTGGGTGGTGGGTGGGTGTTGGGGTGTTAAGGGGTGTTAAAGGGTGTTAGGGCTTTAAGGGGTTTAAGTACTTAAGGTGTAGGCCCTCGGCATTCAAGCTTCCCAAATGCAGGCAGACCTTCTGATGGAATGGCAGCAGCCACTCCTCGCGGCGCTCGACAGGAACCAGGCGGACCTGACGTCGCAACTGGCTGGCTTGTCTGAAAGCCAAGCGCAACGCTGGGAGAAGCTGGTGTCGCAGTTGGATGGGCAAACTACTCAAGCCAGCGAGCTGGAGTGTGCCATTGCAAGGAACCACCAGGAGCTCAGGTCGGAGTTGGAGAAAGAGGCCGACGCACTCACACAGCTCAAGCAGCAATGCGAGCAGCTGTTGCGGGAACAGCGGCGGCAGCTTGAGTCCTTGAGTGCATCTGGCGACCAGAACCTGGAGATGCTGACGCAGTTGGCATTGCGCTTGGAGAGTTTGTCCGCAGAGCAGAGGCAACTCAGCACCGACTCACTCCAGCAGCTCACGCAGCACTGTGACCAACTGCTGCAGCAGTTCGATCCCCTGACACAGCTCACGCAACACTGCGATCAGCTGTTGCGGGAACAGCGGCAGCAGCTCAACCCCGTAGTGCGTACTCTTCAGGACCAGAACCAACAGCTACTGTCTCAGTTGACAACAGGTTTGGATAGTCTGTCCACAAGCCACCAGCAGCTCAGCACAGAGTCGCTCACACAGCTTAAGCACCTTTGCGACCAGATGCTGCGGGAACAGCAGCAACAGCTTGATCCACTTACACGTCTCACTCAGCACTGTGAGCTGTTGTTGCAAGAGCAGCAGCAGCGATTCGATCCCCTTGCACAGGTCACACAGCACAGCGACGCACTCCTTCAGGAACAGCATCAGCGACTCGATCTCCTACTGGGCACAGTTCAAGCACACCAGGACCTGCTCTCCCGGGTGGAATCGCAGCTGGATGGGTTCTCCTCAGAACATAAGCAGCTAAGCTCCGCTTCAGTGGCAGAGCTCAAGAAGCATTACGACCAGCTCCTCCGAGAGCAGGTAGATCCCATGTTGAGCATTCTGCAGGATCAGCACAAGCAGATGCTGACTCAGTTGACAGCGCAGCTGGAGGGCTTGTCCACAGAACACAGGCAGATGAGCAGCGATTCCCTTGCTCAGCTCAGGCAGCACTACGACCAACTGCGAGAGCAGCAGCAGCAGGTCAATCCCGTGTTGAACAGCCTTCAGGAGCAAAACCAAGAAGTGCTCAGTCAGCTCGAGATGCATTTAGACGAGTTGGATATTCTGTCCACAGAGCAGAAGCAGCTGAGCGCCGATTCGCGCAAGCAGCTCACGAAACAGTGGGACCAACTCCTGCGGGAGCAGCGGCAACAGCTAGATCAGTTTGGCAAACCTCAGGGTCAGAACCGGGAGCTGCTGACCCAGCTAAAAGCCTCTCTGGAGAGCTTGTGCAAAGAGCAGAAGAAGCTCCGAACCGACTTGCTCACATACCAGCCGTCACCGGTTGACCAGGGACATCGTCCGCAGTTCGATCCCTTGCTGACCACACTTCAGGATCAGCTTGTGGGATTCACAAAGCACGGGGCGGCCCAGGTATCCGAGAAGGTCTCCACCCCGACAACACCATCAGAGACTTCCGCTTTAAGCCCCAACAGGCTGCTGTCGCCACAGAGCAATCAGAGCACCCACCCGCCGATGCCGCCCAAGCTGGCACAAGGCAACCATGAGTTGGGCCTCCTCAGAAAAACGGAGGAGACGCATGTGAAGACTGACTTACTGATAGTTCGGAGAATCTCTTCGTACTATCTGCACGTGATGAAGGCAGCCTAGCATGCCGGCATTTGAGGTTGGTGCTCTACAGGCACAGTATGCGCCCAGCTCTGGGGAAGGATTAACGAATCCCCATGGGTTTTTTTTTGAAGTCAGGGAGCTGTCTGAGGCCTGTACAGGTTAATCAGGTTTACCGTTCAGGCAGGGCAACAGCTGCCCTTGAAAGGGCAGGGACCCTAAAAACCCTTAACCCGGAAGCCAAAACCCTAAGCCCTAAGCCCTAACCCCAATCCCCAAACCCCTTGTGATAGTCTCGTGAGGTCTCGACGATAGGATCTCTTTTCCACCCAGGTAGGATCTCTTACCCAGGGAAGCGAGGACTGAGAGTGCCGCTATGTGGTTTAGGGCTTAGAGTTTATGGTTTAGGGTGCGGAAGCGAAGCTGTCGGCCTTGAACTGAGACAGCCGGCAGCCTCGCAACTCAAGCTCTGATGTCGTTACTCGGCCCTCGCACTTTGTAGTTTAGATTCTTGCGACGCTTGAAGCGCGCAGAACCAAGGAGAGTTTGTTCTTGCAGATGGAAACCCTCGCGGTTTCAGTCAGGCTTCGTTCTGAGAGAACAGGGGCGAAGGCCCCGTTTACCGTTCAGTGCTGTGCCCTAAGGGCAGAATTGGAACATCAGCAGTCAATGCCGCCAAGCGGTCGAGACGCATGAAACTCCGGTTGTGCGTTTTTGCAGTTTTAGCCACCTGACTGACAGCTAGACCTGCACCCTAAATCCAAATCCCCAAATCCCCAAATCCCCAAACCCCAAACCCAAGAATCTTATCGCTAAACCCCATGCCCACCAGAACCCCAAACGTGTACAGTCGCATCCGGAGCTGACTACAGGATGTCAGATTGGCCCTGACTCTTCTGGCAGTCCTTAGCTGCCTCAGCTGTACCACTGCGCAAGAACATGGCCATTGCGAGTTAACGCTTCTAATCGCCAGGTGCCCAGCATCTCTACTCGTGCTACCGGCAAAAGACTACCGAACCTATCTGCCCGGTCGAGGCTCATCCTTCTATGGTAATTTCCGGGATCTCCTATTGCCAAACCCGAAACTTTGAACCCTAAACCCTCAACCCTGAAGCCTAAACCCTCAGACCCTTATTTTGTGGTTTAGGATGTGGAGCTTAGGATGTAGGGTTTGGATTGGTTTGAGGTTTAGGCGCACATGCCTAAAAGCTGGTGCGAGGATACGTTGCAACAGACGTTTGGTTGCATGGGCGCGATGTATACATAACCCGATCGGTAAAAATGCTATCGACAGTCCGTGACAAGATCACGAAACGTAGAAGATCCACAGAGATTTCCGCCAAAGGGATACCCCAGAATACTAGAATCCGTAGGAATGAATATTGCTAGCGATCAAGGATAGCTCTTAATTACAAGGATTCAAACTGATTGCTGGAGTGATTTGCACCTGACATTCGCTCCGTGGACGCGCCTTGTCTCGGCAGTCAGCTATACGTTAAACTACTATTACGATAAAAGTCGAAGATTGTTAGTGGTTTTCCAGGCAGAACCACACTGCCACGGGGGTACCTCCCCCCAGAAGGGTACCCCAAACCCTTAACCATATACTCTAAACCGACTAAACCCTCAACCCTAATTTTCGAAAACCATTCCCCAAGTGACTTCGTGCCCCACACTTGAGCTGATGGAGGTGTACCCTAGCAGACCCCCCCCCCCCCCCTTGCTGTCACTAAGCCCCTAGAACCCAAAACCCGCAAAATCCTAAGATCCAAAGACCCTACAACCCTAAAACCCTAAAGCCCCAAAACCTCCTAAGCCCCTAAACCCCTAAACTCCCTAAACTCCCTTAACCCTCTAAACCCCTAATCCCCTAAAGCTAATATGGACTCGGAGAACTCCGCTTGGGGTTTTCTAGACTTTTGAGGAGTGGCCCATCCCTGACCCATGAGAGTTTCTCAGGAATGTACCCGGTGTGGAATCCCCCCCAAAAAAAACACCAGTCTAAGAAAACATGTATAGATGTACTGGGTTGAGGGTTGAGGGTTGAGGGTTTAGGAACACGTATGCATAAATGGTAGAATCACCCTTGTAAAGAACAGCCGGCGAGGGACCCCTAATTTTCGGACCCTTCGGGACTGACTTGGCCGAAGGCGCTGCCCATGTGATCACTAGAATGCAAGCTGGAAGCATCCCTGAGACTACGTGAGCAATGAGCCCTAAACCCTAAACACAAAACCCTAAACAAAAAACCCTAAACCCTTAACCACCCTAAACCACCTAAAACACCCTAAACCCTATGCCCTATACCCTAAACCCTAAACCCTAAAAGCTGTGAAACAGCCTTCATGGCTAGAGATGTCCCAAAGCCTTCCAAGCCATGTCCAGCGAGACCATCCTCGAACCTTGCTGGGCACTTTCGCGGAAGTGACCTCTAAAGCCGGCAAGGCCATTTTAGGGTTTAGGGTTTAGGGTTAGGGATGACTCCAGGACACTGCTGATGGCGCACATTCTGCAGCGATGTGTGCGGTTTATATGCAGCTTTAGAAGGTCTTGGCACATTGTTGCCCTCACGTTCACTGCCACCGTGTATGGGAGCGCGCTTGTCAATGTGGACGGCTCAAGGAGCTTGACAAGTGCTGCGTGGCAGCAGATCCTCGACAACATGTACCCTGATGAAAATAGCAACGCCATGCGCTTGTCCGAGCGCGAAGTAGTGCCGAACTGGGACGTGACAATGCAGGCGGATGACGTCACAAAAGCCTTGAATGCATTCCAGACATTCTGCTGGTTTAAGCATGGCATGGACGACCATCTCCCATTCTTCTGGAGTTGTGATATTCAGCATGTAGCCGCGGACTTCTCCGAGGAACCGCTAGACCCCAACATGAACTGCACAGCGGCTTTTGTCACAGCTCACATCCTCAAGGGCGATGATCCGCGTTGTGTGCCATGGGGCGATGAGTCTATTCCGTCACTTTCCCTGGCTGTTGACCCTAACTTTGACGAGTACGAGATACACTCATCCAGCCCAATGTTTGACCCGCTCGAGACGTCTCTGACGAACATGGAGCAGCGCTTGGCCGCCATCGAGGCGCACCTCAACATTCCAGTGAAAGCAAGAAACGGCCTGGAGAAATGCGGCGCCATATCCAAGGGATGCGCGCACAAACGGAATGCAACGGCGACACTTCCAGATGACTTTCCCTGTTCCTGCTTTGGAGACTCCGGCAAGCCCTTCAGTACCTGCCGAAATCATCACTGGGGTTTGCTGCAGCTCTGCCAGCCGCAGCGGCTTGCGGTGAAGTTTGTGATCTTGCACCACATGCCGGCGGCATCGCGACAATTGCGCCACAAGTTCAAGCTTCACCGACTCGTGCAATGGTTTCTGGTCGACATGACATTCCAGAGAATTCAGGGTTGGAATGGTGAGGAAAGTGGGTTATATCGCGCCTACATGCAGCTTCGTGAGGAGCGGATTATGGGTAGCCCTTGGACGAGGAGAACTGTGCAGGATGGACTCTTAGTGCTTTGCTGCTTTGCCTCGATGCTTTGGTTCATCGGTCAGGCGCTCGGAGCTTGCCTCTTCTTTCTTCCCAGGAACTGCTGTGCCTTGTGGGCTCTCAGAAGTGATGAGAACGGGCCGCGAAGGGTAGCGATTCATGTTTTCAAGGAGCATCTCATCCACTGCCTTGTGGGTCGACCTGTTCGCTTGAACTCCGTCAACCACTTCGAGGCGTTCATGGAGATCATCGTCAGCATCTGCATGGTGGTTGGTGTTCTGCGAAGTATCTTCACAGGAGGGGACCCATGCACCATCGTCGACTGTCGAAGCCAGGCTGTCCTGGAGGGGCTCGTGGACCAGTCCTACATCTTGTTCCTCGATGATGACGCGTGGCACGGAACAGCCTGGCTTCTCCTCTACATAACCATCGTCTTTGCCAGCCTCTCCTTGATTGACAAGCTTCGTTGGCTGCCAAGTGTCATCTTGCTCTGTGCAGTGCGGATCGGGCACTTCCTGGTGGCCTATGGCCTCCTCCTCTGCGGGGCAGGATTTGCCATGTACATGGGCTACGGGCCGCGCTACATGCAATTCTCCTCGCTGTGCCGGTCCTGTTCCGAGCTGTTCTTCCTAACCTGTGGCATGCCCATGGGTGTCTTCGATGGCATCCACCCCTTCCAGGATGCCGATTCGACGGAGGTGGCCGTCTTGCTGGCGCTGTATTGTTTCCCGGCATCTTCCCCATCGAGCTTCTACTACACGATAGAAAGACAATACGGTTATACATATATATACTGGTATGGAATAATGTACAATGATGCATCAAGAAATGTATAAGAACAAAACTCAATATGCATGTATGCTGATGTCGAACCATGTGTAATAGTATCTAGCAATGTGTTTATGTAAGTATATACACACAACTGTGCATAACAGTTTTTTTTTTTTAAAGTTGCCTGTCATAGCCTGTACTACTTTGTAGAGTCCGCGGGCCTGTCACAGTGCACTTCCTGTCTTGATGTCTCTCGTATGAGAATGCGCAGGCAAGTATAGCCAGAGTCAGCTGTTAAAAGAGACTCAACCCCAAACCCCAAACCCTAAACCCCAAGCCCGCACCCCTAAACCCTAAACCCTAAACCCTCTTTATGAATAGCTGCAATCCGATATCTGACGAATCAGCATGCCCCGGGTTCTGCTAATCAGGGGGTGAACGCTCGAGGAACCCTAAACCCTAAACCCTAAACCCTAAACCCTAAACCCTTGAGACACGTTCGCCCGGGGAAAAGTTGGTTCTACCCCAACTGTTGCTTCTACTCCGTTGTTTTCTGGGCTGGGGTCGGGGGGCTGGGGTTGGGCGGGGGGAGGTTGGGAGCATCCTGTTTGCTACTCCAACTGTTGCCCGTTGTTTTTGGGGCTGGGGTTCGGGGGGTCGGGGCGGGGTGGGGTGGGGGTTGGGAACGTCCTGAACCTAACTACATGTTTCAACCCGAATCCCTCAAACAGAGGCCCCAAAGTTTGAAGTTTGAACTCTCAACTCTCCTTAAACCCAGACACTGAAACTTCAACTCTGAACCCGAAACCTCGAAGCAAAAAGTCGGAACCCGAATCCCCGAAGTTTCAAGTTTCAAGTTTCAACTCCAAGCTCCTGTTCAATGTAATGTCCTTTCTACTTTCTCCCAAGGTGTCTGGTGTCTATGTCAGGCGTCTGCTTGCCAACGGCAATCAAGCCCTAAGCACAAGCCCGAAGCATCTGTAATTTTCTTCACCGTCTATCACTGCAGCCAAAAGTGTGCAGATATCCAAACATTGGGCGTCGCAATTTCTCGAAGCATTCGTGTTCCAAACTAGCAACTTCAAAGTTCGTAGTTCTGAGTTGGCTTCAATGCGAAGATGGACAATACAGCTGCACCACGCTCTACACGTACTTGATCTTGCCGAATGGGCCCGAATTCATCGCGCTTGCCACTGTTCTCGACTCTGTCTCATACAACTACTCTAGACCACAACTAACATGCTACCATAACACGTCCTACAACGACCCACGTTACCCGCAAATCTGCGGGGCAAACGTGTGCGACGCGTCCAAGATATAGGTTTTGCTTTCGGGGGGGGGGGGGGGGGGGGGGGGGTGCTTCAGTTCACACATTCTCTTTTACACATATCTTTCCTCTCTCATTTTAGTTCTTTCAGTATGTGTTCTTTGACATGATTGTTATCCCTCTCATGCCGATGCCTTTCGTTTTGTACCCACATGACAACTGTCTGTTCTGAGACTAGCCAATACAATGCATCACCATCCTGAACAGGGGACCTCAATGCTTTCCATGATGAAAGGTCTTCATGTGTCACTACCGAAGAACGACCTTCCTGGAATTTATGGTTAAGTATTCAAAATTTCGCGTGCATCCTTGCTATTTCTTTGATCTTTACAAGGACTCACCTTAATTTCTAAATCTTCAACTCAGATGATAGTAGGTGCAATGGAATTCTAGCAGAATCATTCAGTGTGCCCCCTTACATAAATAAATATAGAAATATAGTATACATATACATTTATATATACGCTAAATGACAAACAAAACATACTCCAACCGAAAGAGTGTTGTCTTTATGGGGAGATTCAGGCAGGAGCAGTTTGCTGTACGCCACCGTAAGCCTACATGTAGTAGCAGGCGTCCGGAAGGGGTTCAAGCTCCAGTGCATTTTTTGGCTGCGGGGCAGAGTGTATTTACTCAGAATGAATGCAACAAAACTTCTTGTGTTTTTCATTGAGCTCATATGGGGGGTAATTGAGTAGGGTTGCAACTGAAACGCGAATCTTGTCAGCGTTAGGTTTGATTCTAATACGAAAGATAACACGTCGGATCCTACAGTGCTTGGATTCATACTGTGATTATTTGTAGCTTTGATTCCAAGATCCCTCTGACTGAAGTGATTTTGTCTGAATCCCGAATAATTCGCATTTTAGGAAAGCACTTGACCTCATATCGTGTATGTCTACATGACACTAGACTTTCTGGCGAAATATTTATGAAAATCATGCACATGGACAAAATTGGATAAAGTGCAGGAATGCCCTGAAGATTGGAAATGCATCAATTTCGCATCAATGTCCCCACGGAACTACCCTAAACCCTAAACCCAAAACAAGAAGGGACGATATTCAGAGTCTCTCCAGTCAGAAGATGTTGTGTTTTGTTTTGGGTCTCGTGAAGGGCACCTTGTGAACAACAGCAGCAAACAGGCGCACTCTCACGGTCCCCCTGTGAACTAATGCTCATGTAAAAGAGGTGCCCCTTGTACTAACAGTCCTGAATAGGGATTACGGGAGTATAGTACCCCTTATTATACTCCCTATCAAGGACTGTTAGTATAAGGGGGAACATTCCAAATGCTAATGAATGAATAGTTTTCTCAGAAAGCAGAATACTATTTACCACAAAACCACAAAACAGCAATGTGATTTCCAGAAAGCTCCCGATTCTATCTAGCAGTTTCTACAGTGTTCCAGATCCCTACAGCGTCCTACGTTCCAACTGAGGCTTGTTTATGACCATCATTGGCCTCAACTTCTTCACGACCATTATTTTGGATGCCTACAGTCAAGCGCGCGATGCCCGTGCTGCAGACACGCAGCTTGAGCTCATGGGCGATGAGCTTTGTTGCAGCCTCATGTCCGTCATTGGGCTGGAGCCAGAGACCTGCCTCGCCTCCCCTCGGCCCAGCAGCACGCCTGCGACGCCGGACACGTCCGAGGCGCTGAGTCAAAGTGAAGATGAGCTGCAGGAGTCCCTGGTGCCACCAGTGCAGCATGGGCCATATTCCGAGATGTGAGGTTGAAGGAAGAAAAACCCCTGTTGCGTCACCTGCCTTTTTTTGCACTTCTTCGAACATCCCCCGAAAGCCATGGTTCATGATGGGGGTTAGGGAGGGGTGTTGGGCGCTCACAAAGTTCAAAGAAGTCTGGGGCAGTTTCTTGGAAAGCAGTTGCCCTTCCTTCACAGGCCGATGGGGTTGACGGCAACGTGATGTGTGCTCGTTGAAGCCAAAGTTGGGTTTCCCGAAAAATTTGGGCTTCCTTTTTGGGGGTTCCATGTGAAGACTGCAATAATGATGTTGGCTACATAAGGTTTGGGGTCACATTGGCCAAATGGGTGCGGACATGGTAAGGCCAAAACGAGCGGGAAGACTGGCGGCCATAAGCAATAAACCCTAAACCCTAAACCTAAACGGGCATTCCCTGCTGATTCTTTCGCTGCAGTCGCGATGCTCGGAGGGGGACTGCGGTTGAGTTGTGGCTCCGCTCCTGCTGGCAGGACTCAGTCAGCACTGTGTCGCTGAGTTGTTTTGAGTGGTTGTGCATTTTCAGAAGGACATGGTGCTTGCGCGGCAATTGACTGAAACCTTCCCAGCTAGGTGCAAAAGGTTAAGCTGACTACAAGACTGAACAAGCTGTTGCGTGAGGATCGTGTGGCAGCATATGAAAGGTTCCATCGCGTGGCGCTCAGTACACGTGCGTACTTGTTTTTTGCCAGTCATTCCACAAAGCAGAGGTTGAGGATCGAGGATCAAAGGGTTGAGCTTTCCAGGTTCGGGATGTTTAGCCCTCCCATCATCCAAGTACTTCTGTTGTCGCGGGTGAACATGAGGCTCGTCCAGTCGATCCTCGAAGCGGGATAGCGCTGCGTCCCTTCTCGTGTGAGCCTACACAAGGCTTGGTTGGATGCCTCCACCAGGAGGGGGAGAGATTGGAGACAGGTGGAGCATGTCTTTTCGAGAGGGTCTCGTGGTGGGTAGCCCCCTGGCCGGAACATGCCCGTTGCATGAACATGGCGGCTCACGTCTGGAGAACACGTTGTGATGTGGCCAGTTCAACGCTTCGGCGAGTTAGGCTCCCGCTCGGGCATGCGAAAGCGCGGCGGCGTCTCTTTTGAGCTCGGGCCTCTCAAAGCTGTGTCCACACATTCGAATGATGCGAAGTGGAATGAAGAGTTCTCACAGGCATATTTCGCCCGAGTGCTTTGTTTGCCACAATTCTGCATCTGCATCCCTTCGTATGTGACATACTGTCCGCGTCGCTCTGCAGGCCTGAGCTTGCCGTGCCTGCAGGACAGGCGCTCGCAAGACACCTCGCCTTACAGGACTTCTCCTTAGCGCTTCGATGGATTTGTCGCGCTCGCGTCGCTCGCCACAAGCCGCCGACACGATGCTCTCCAAGTGCAAGGACTGGATGAGTGTTACGCAAGGCAGATGTGAGCGTGTGCTTTGTCACGCCGCCTCTGTGCTGCCCATACATCAATCCATAGTTGCGTGTGCTCACGCCTCGGGGGCCAAGAGTTCCGTTGACCCTTTCGTATCTGAGCGACAGGCATCATTAAGGCCTCTGAAGAGCTGCAGGAGGACATAGTGCAGTTGCCTGAAGCAATACCCAATATTACCAAGAACGATACCTCCGTGTTGAATCTGCTACTCTGCCAAAACCGATGCCCTTACATGTATGTATGTCATCTAGTGGTCCTTTGACAATTGCCGCTCGCCCAGCTTGATTTCCCCGACGAAGCCGACAAAGGAACAGCCCAGTAAGAAAACACCGTGCGAGGCTGGCTTGTCAGGCTTTAGTCGAGGCGAGCATCTTGAACAGCCCTGCAATATCCGGGAGACAGGGTGAGCTTCGGCATCGACGGGGGGCAGTTCGAGTTGGAGTGTCCCAGGTTTTCCTCTGGGGGATCGTGCCTTCATGTGTCTTGCATCTGTGCCCGAGAACGGAAGCGGTGAAGCCACCCCATCAGGAAAAGGCCACTTCAAAAATCAAGCGTTATGGAAGCGGCCATTGGTTCCAACTCTGTTTTGAGCTGGGCTTCATAGAGCCTCTCCGCGCTAAGGGCCCAAGTTTCACGCGGAAGGCATGGCCCGAAGATGGGGGCCTTTTCTTGGGGACGGCATGAGGCTCCCCATTTCGGGCCTTCATGAATGCCGAGCCCATGCTTTGGTTGCTGTGGTCAGCACCCGCTGACGTGCTGAGCATCCAACCCCTTAATTCTGCTTTGCGTAGAGATGACAGGTGCTGGGGCTTTCTGGTGGCGCCTTCCGATCCCTTCCCTTCCCCTGCTACCCCACAGATTGCAACAGCATGTCGGACTTTAGCTAATCGCGGCATGCTGGCGGCGAAGTACCTGACATGGGGCCATGTGTTCATCAAGTCTACATCTGTGCCCTGCAGGCCAAGTTGGATCAGGTGTTAGCAGGTCTGTTCACAATCTGCCGCAAGTCTGGTGGCCGTCCCAAGCGCGGGCTAGCGAGACTTGTCCTCGAGACTTATCCTCAGGCGCTGTTGCAGCAATTGCTGCGAACCATTGCTGCGAACATTGGCCATGCACGGAGAGCAACAGCACGGGCAGATCACTCGACTAGAGTTTGGATCGCATGTAGAGGAAAGGAAAGACGAAGCGGTAAACAAGTAAACAAGCTGGTGTGTGCCTGGCGTCTAGGACCGCTCTCGTAGACTAGACGACATGTCTGGCAAAGCAGGAGACTGCAATCTGGACAGCATGCCGGACTTGAGTCTGATTTGGTGGGGCCGTGTATTCTGCTTAAGCAGTCTTGCGTCTTAGAAGCATGTTCTACCCATGGTGTCTCAGGAAATGTTCCACGTGCTTTCCAGCATTCTGCCGCAACTTGCCCTTGCCCACCTGCTGCGGCGTTGAGAAGAGACAGGCTTGCTTACGGGTTGACAGGTGCCAAACGTTGACTCAGGTATCACTAGGCAGCGGATCGCAGTGACCACCTAGCGGTTGGCGCAGAATCAGATATGGCATGACACGGTCATGCTGCCCTTAACAGCACAAGCACAGTCCGGAGGAGGAGGAGGAGGCCGGTGCGGATTGTCACCACATACTGGCTGTGAGGCATGATTAAGGTCAAATGGACGCATGCCTTTCTCAGGCAAGTGCGTGCAACGCATGGGAACTGTAACATCCTCACAGCAGATGGTTGTGGTTCTGCAACCTAGCAGCCCTAGCAAGCACCGACCTGGACCTATGAGCTGAATTGTCTAGTATAATGCCCACAGCAAACTGCTCAGCACTCGCTGACGTGCTGAGCATCCAACCCCTTTATTCTGCTTTGCGTAGAGATGACAGGTGCTGGGGCTTTCTGATGGCGCCTTCGCATCCCTTGACAATGTCCAGCACTTCGCACTTGTCCTGTTTACCCATGGTTTTAGGTAATCGCTGCATGCTGGCAAAGCTATTCTGCGTAGATACTTTTTGCGTCGTGGATTGTGAAATCGTTTTGCAGCAAGCCCTTGCTCACCTGTTGAACATTGAGTTCAGAAAGGCTTGCTTACGGTTGACAGGTGCCAAACGTTGACTCAGGTATCACTAGGCAGCGGATCGCAGTGACCACCTAGCGGTTGGCGCAGAATCAGATATGGCATGACACGGTCATGCTGCCCTTAACAGCACAAGCACAGTGCGGAGGAGGAGGAGGAGGCCGGTGCGGATTGTCACCACATACTGGCTGTGAGGCATGATTAAGGTCAAATGGACGCATGCCTTTTTCAGGCAAGTGCGTGCAACGCATGGGAACTGTAACATCCTCACAACAGATGGTTGTGGTTCTGCAACCTAGCAGCCCTAGCAAGCACCGACCTGGACTCATGAGCTGAATTGTCTAGTATATTGCCCACAGCAAACTGGTCAGCACTCGCTGACGTGCTGAGTATCAGTCCTCTTCCCGTGCTTTGTGTGCTTAAACGCGCTCTTAAATGCGGCGGGGTCTGGGTCTCCCAGCCTTCCCCTGGACTTCCAGGCATGCGCGGAACGGTTGCACGTACTCGATGCGGCCACCCCTGTTTGACAGGACCATTCGGATGTGTAAGAGGGTTTTGACTGCGACAGTACGCATGCAATGTGGAGCAGGCCGGCTCGGAATCCTGTGGCCAGTTCCCTCAAAGACTTGAACCGATGGTTGTGTTCCAAAAAGTCCAGGGCGTGCAATAGGCCCCAGCCATTCTTGTGCGACATGCGGTCTGTATTGAAGGGGTTCCATTTGCGAGAGAACCACCTGCCGGAGCTCACGCAAGCACTCTGTCGCATACAGAACACCTGCGCTGCCTGAAACGCCTTGACCTCTGTCTGCGTGGTTGGAAGCCAAGACGCTTACTCGCTCATACGAAACCAAGCGGCTGCTGCCAGACTGCAATCTGGCGTTGCCGCCGTCACTTGCAGCCGCCAACTTTGAAGCTGCGCTTGGCTTGGAGGTGGTGAGGTCCAAGCAGCCAGGCTTGCGACATTCGATAGCACAGTGTCGCGCAGTGCATCAAGTCTACTACTTTGCCCTGCAGACCAAGTTGGGTCAGCTATGAGCACGCGCCTGCTCGCGGTTTGCCGCAAGTTCTGTTCAGGCACAGCTGATGCTCGGGCATCCTGTGCTCATGAATATTGATGGCGTACTGCTCCCCAGTATGGGCTAGCGAGGCGGCTTTGATCGCCCAACCAGGGCACACAGTCAAAACTCAAAGATTTGAAGCAGGATGCTGCGGCAGGGAACATCGGCCATGCACGGAGAGGACCGGCAAGGATCACTGACTGGAGTTCGGATCACGTGTGGTAAACAAGCTGGTGCGAGCCTGGGAGTCTGGGACATCTGGGACTGCTTGCCTCGGAGCCGCTTTCTTCTGGGGCGTGATGTTGCTCTTTCTACACAAGGGTGTCTCAGTGCTGGCCTTCCACCGGCATGTGCCGGCCACTTGCCCGTGCTCACGTGTTGAGACTTTGTGCCGAGCGAGGCTTGCGTTTGCTTGGCGGTGCCAAGCTTTGACTCAGGTGCAGCCA